GGGAGGCAGAGGCAGGCGGATTTCTGAGTTCGAGGCCAGTCTGGTCTACAGAGTGAGTTCCAGGACAGCCAGAGCTACATAGAGAAACCTTGTCTTGGAAAAAAAAAAAGATGAAACTAGATGAAATTAAAACAGAATTTCTTCAAGAAAACAGAAAAGGAGACTCAAAATAGCCCAAAATGGAGACCATTTCTGTAGCACACTGCCGAAAGAGAGAGCACAACTCACCACACTGGATTGTCTTCAAACATCTGGGGGTGCAAAAGAGAAGCTGGACATGGTGGGGGTGCTCTGAGATACCAGCGCTTGGAAGACAGAAGCAGGAAATGGTCATCTCCAGCTATAGAGAGAGGCTTGAGCCAGCTGGGCTACCTGAGATCCTGCTTCAAAACCAACTGAAACACTTTAAGTAGGGCTGGAGATTGTTTCAGGAGGGGCCTGGAGAGGACTTAGGGGTTGTGAACACTTGTCCCTCTTCCAGAAGACCTTGGTTTGTTTCCCAGAATCCACATGGGCTCCCAACACCCCTCTTCTCACCTCTGCCTACACAAGGTACATGGAGCATAATAAGCAAAGCATTCATACACATAAAGTAAAATATATGAGTCTAAAAAGAATTAAAAAAAAAAAAGAGCTTCTAGAGAGCCAGGCTGGTGGTAAACTGTGAATTTGAAGTCAGCCTGGTCTACACAATAAGTTTCAAGATGGTTAGGGTTATGTAAGAAGATTCTACTTCTAAACAAACAAAAATAAAACAAGCACACAGAAAAAGACCTCTTGAAATAGAAACCCACATATCAAAAACACAAGCAAGTATCTTCAAACGAAGGGACCATTGAACACACTAAAGGAGGAAAAGGCTAGAAATGACCAAGAGCTGCTTCTTTTGTCAAGGCCCAAACTCGGGTGACCCCGGCTTCTGCGGCTCTGGAGCAGGTGGTATAAACTCCGGCTCCTGTGGGAGCAGATGGTATAAACCCCGGCTCCTGCGGCTCTGGAGCAGGGTGGTGTGAATGCCAGGCCCACAAGGAGATGAAGGCAGGCAGATGTGGTAATAGAGATGCAGCTAAGCACTTATATTTGATTAGAAAAATTGAAGGAGGAGGGGTTGAGAAACTGGGCCTGGAGTGGGCTTTTGGACCTCAAAGCCAACCCTCAGTGACGTATCTCCACCAACAAGGCCACACTTCCTCATCCTTCCCAAACAGTTCTACAACTGGGGACCAAGTATTCTAATATATGAGCCTGTGGGGGCCATGATGGTTCAAATCACCACAAGGAGGGAAGGGAAGATTGCTATCTGGAAATAAGAGGATTTTACAGATTGAGTGAACCCAGTGATACCTGGAAAATGAAGTTAAAATGAGAACTCCAAGATGCAGCCTCATCTTCACCAACAGGATGCAAAGTCAAGCAGGTGAAGAACCAGTTATTTTATTTTATGTGTATAAGTATTTCACCTTCGCCAGGCAGTGGTAGTGCACGCCTTTAATCCCAGCACTTGGGAGGCAGAGGCAGGCAGATTTCTGAGTTTGAGGCCAGCCTGGTCTACAGAGTGAGTTCCAGGACAGCCAGGGCTACACAGAGAAACCCTGTCTCCCCTGTCTCCCCTGTCTTGAAAAACCAAAAAAAAAAAAAAAAAAGTATTTCACCTTCATCGATATGTGTATAGTGTGTGTGTGTGTGTGTGTGTGTGTGTGCATACCCAGTGCACTGAAGACACACTAAGTGCAAGGTTATCCCTTCTCTAGAAGACACACTGTGTGCAAGTTTGCTATTTCATGTCTAGAAGACACACTAAGTGCAGGATTATTATCCCACGACCAAGAAGACACAGTATGTATGAAGTTATTCACTTCATCATTAGCAATTATAAAATATTAAAAGGAAAAAATGATTGGATTCCTGAGGGTTCAGCTGCAGAAATGAGAGGATATGACTGAAAGAATCATGTAAACAGTTATGAAATAATTCCCAAAGCAACTTCTGAAAAGCGAAGTGGGGGCTCTGGAGATGGCTCTGTGCTTAGGGGCATTGCTATTTTGGAGGACTTGAGTTGTTTCCAGCACCACTTAGAGTGGTTCATAACCATCTGGAAGTCCAGCACCAAGGGACCTGACTCCTTCTTCTGGCCTCTGAGGACACCTGTACAGATACATGTACTCCTGGGGCTGGAGAGATGGCCGAGTGGCCCAGAGCATACGCTGCTCTTACAAGATCAGTCAGTGGTCTGTCTTAACTGGCTGCTCTTCTCTCCAGCTTTACTTCATGGTTTTCTTTCTTTTTTCAAAGCTTTTTTTTAAGATGTATTTTTTTAAGATGTATTTATTTATATGTATATGAATACACTGTAGCTGTCTTCAGACACACCAGAAAAGGGCATCAGATCCTATTACAGATGGTTGTGAGCCACCTTGTGGTTGCTGGGAATTGAACTCTGGACCTCTGGAAGAGCAGTCAGTGCTCTTAACCACTGAGCCATCTCTCTGGCTCAGTTTTGTTTTGGTTTGTTTGTTTGTTTTTTGTTTTTTTGTCTTTTTGGTTTTGTTTTTTGGTTTTTGTTTTTATATGTGATCCTGACAGAAAACCCTTCAATTTTCAAGAAAAATGGGACGCAAAGAAAAAGGAATTTGGCTGGGCTGTGGTGGTGCATGCCTTTAATTCCAGCACTTGGGAGGCAGAGACAAAATGCCTAAGAGACTAAAAACTAAGAAAAAAGTTTTGTTTGTTTTGTTTTGATTTTTTTTTAGACAGGCTCTCACCATGTGGGTCCAGGAACCCACTCTGTAGACCAGGCTGGTCCTCAGACTTAGAGATCTGCCTGTCTCTGACTCCCAAGTACTGGGATTAAAGGTGTGAACCACCATTCCTGGCTCAAAAAACACTTCCTGTTAGCACCTTCTACAAGACATGATTTTTATTTTGTTTATCCACGTAAAGTATTAGAAGTTTACCTTCTTTGTTTTTTTTTTTTGGGGGGGGGAATTGGATTCATATACGTTCTCTTTATCTTTATGAAAACACAGTTCCTTAATTTTAGTACTCCTGGGAAGGCAGGTGCATCTCAGGTGTCCACAATAAGAAGGAAGGCTTATTTTGTCAAAGGCTGAAGCTTCCTCTTTCACTCCCTAGTCACATGACATACTGAAAACAGTCTTGATCCCAAAAGGCTTCTCTTCTTCCCAGAGGGCATAGAACAGAAGGCACAAGCCTTTAAAACAACAACACTAATAACAGCAACAACAGTAGCAACAAGGTTTAAATGATTTGATCAGACAAATAATTCAAGCCGCGTGTGGTGGCTCATGTCATAGCAGGAAGAATCTGAAGTCAGCTTGGGTTACAAAGTGAGACTCTCAGGGGAGTAGGGGGTGAGGTGGGAACAACTTGCTAGAGCCTGATAGTGCACGCCTTTAATCCCAGCACTTGGGAGGCAGAGGCAGGCGGATTTCTGAGTTCGAGGCCAGCCTGGTCTACAAAGTGAGTTCCAGGACAGCCAGGGCTACACAGAGAAACCCTGTCTCAAAACAAATAAACAAACAAACAAACAAGAACAGGGCCAGTAAGGAAAACATGACATTGCTTAAAGCGCCTCTCTGTCTAACTGCCTGGGACTGATCATCTCCCACAGGCCAAACCTGGCCCCGGCGTGTGGCCTCCCCGCCCCTCCCTCTCTATTCATCCTCAGAGCTTCAAGTCTGATGTTTTCATTCCATCCAGATTTGCTGTCCAACAGACAGCCTCAGAATATCCTGCTTAAAATGAATCCATCCCTACAGAGTGCTTCTCTGTAAGTGTTCCTGCAAATGAGAAGAAGGGCACAAGCCACCTCCCAGGAACTCAGGGAAGTGCCCCCCATCCCCTTCCCCCATCAACCCAGTAAAGCACTAACTTCTCTGCTCATCTGTCATCTTAGAATGTCTCACACTGACCAAGGATAGTCACGCGCACACGCACACCCTTTAGTTTTGCTAGTAGTTTGTTTTTGATTGTTTTTGCGGGGACAGAGTCTTACTGTCCTCACTGCCCAGACTGCTCCTGCACTGTGTCCTCCTGTCTTTACCTCTTAAACACTGAGATTACAGGTGTGTGCCACTATGCCCAGATTCAAAAGTATATTACTAACTTAATTTTAATTTTAATTTTGAGACAGAGTCTGGCCATTCAGGATCTCGATAACTAGATCAGGATGGCCTTGAATGCAGAGATATGTCTGCTTGGCTTATTTTTCTCCCCCCACCCCCTAATTTTTTTTAACATTTATTTTTATGGTATGAGTGCTTTGCCTGCATGCATGTATGTTCACCTTGTTCATGCCCGGTATCCAAGACAATAAGAAGAGGCCATCCAATCTCCTAGAACTGGAGTTACAGAGAATCAGTACTTACAGAGTATGGTTAATACTGTGGGATGCCTAAATTGTACAATGTGGACATCTGGGCTTGTTTTGCATGGAGAAAGGACAGAGGTGCTCGTCCTTAGCAGGAAACATCGATCCTGCCCTGTGAAAACCTACTGCGTTGGTCTGGAGGGATTATGGCGTCTCTTCTGTCTTCAGAGGTTGTGTACCTGTCCTGCCTGTCATCAAGCCTTTCTTCTATTTCTCCGCTGAGAGCAAAGAGGCTAGCTTAACTTGAGTCTCAGATCGCGGTTTCCCCAACACCCCTTTGGGTCAAACAGTTGCTCAAAACTATAGTTTAGAGGGTCTAGGTAGAGAAGGGCGGACACAATGTCTTTTAAAAGTGGTAAAGTTCAGTGATTTCTCTGTCACAGACCCTGCTGGCATAAGGCCTACAAAGAGTTGCGGGATTGGATGGATGCTGAGTTGACATTGGGTGGGTGTGGCCTGTGGCCTTGACACTGCGCAGTCGCTCAGGGGCAAATAAAAGCTCCACGCAGCCATTGTGGGATTGTGGCGTAGTGGTGTTGGGACCCACGCCTATGACGGTGTTTGGTCTGGGTCAGCGTCCCGTTTGTTCTGAACTTGGGTCTCAGCCGACATGGAGCAGGACAATGAGCAGCAGGCTCTGCACCAGCCTCGCTTGGTGAGTCTGGGGTCCACCCTAGGGTGGTGCAGGTGTTGGTGGAGAATGGATTGAAGGTGGAGCGGGAGAGGGGGCCAGCCCAAGTGAGGCTTGTTTAGTTAGTTAAGTATGTTTTTAAAGCAAGCAGTAGAGCCTGTGTTGGGTGGTGAAGGTGAAGGGGTTCAGCTCAACTTTTTAAGAGAGGAATTTGTGTACCATGGGAGGAGTGGGGAGGAAACACTAATTGGAGCCCTTGGTCAAACTCCACTGATAGAGAGTAGGTTACCTTATTTTTTATTTTTATTTTTTTGCGGGAGAAAGAGGAGCGTTTAAAGATGGTGGCTGTCCTGGAACTCTTTGTAGACCAGGGATTTGAGAGCGATTTTAAGGAGGGATTTGTGTACTGCGAGGACGTTGGGGAGGAAGTTTATTGGAATCCTTTGCCCAACTCCATTGGTCGGATGCGGTAGGGGGGAGGTTGAAAGATGTTTTTTCTGTGTAGCCCTGGCTGTCTTTGAACTTGTTCTGCAGACCAGGCTGGCTTCAAACTCAGGTCTACCTGCCTCTGCTTCCAGAGTGCTGGCATTAAAGGTGTGAGTTACCATGTCATTTTTTTAATAACTTTATTTATTTTTAAAGAGATGGAGGCCCAGCGGTGGTGACCCACGCCTTTAATCCCAGCACTTGGGAGGCAGAGGCAGGTGGATGTCTGAGTTTGAGACCAGCCTGGTCTACAGAGTGAGTTCCAGGACAGCCCGGGCTATAAAGAAAAAACCAAAAAAAAAAAAAAAAAAAAAAAAGAGACGGAGTCTCTAGGTAGTCATCTCCTAGGCTGTGTAGACCAGAGTAGCCTCGGGCTCAGAGACTGGCCTGCCTCTGCCTTCCAAGTGCTGGGATTAAAGGTGTGCCATTGTGTCCAGTTTATTTTTGGTGAGATTAAAGGCGTGTGTCACCACATCTGTCTTTAATAACAACAACAGAAATACTAAAGCCTGTAACTCAACACTCCTCCAGAAGTGCTCTTAGAGAGTAGGGAATCTTGCCGGGCAGTGGTGGCGCAAGCCTTTAATCCCAGCACTTGGGAGGCAGAGGCAGGCAGATTTCTGAGTTCGAGGCCAGCCTGGTCTACAGAGTGAGTTCCAGGACAGCCAGGGCTACACAGAGAAACCCTGTCTCAGAGGGGGGAAAAAAAGTTATGAGAGTAGGGAATCTCACTTGGAGGGATTAGAAACTAATTGTGATAACCCAAGTGAGGGTTTACATTGTGACAATCCAGGTGAAGGTTTAAACAGTGAGCTCTAATCTACAGAAAGAGAATCTGGACATTGGGGTGGGGGGTATTTTGGAACCAGAATCAGAACTGGTGGAAAATATTTGGAAAATAGAGGGCCGCTCCTGACGGGAAGAGGCCAGGCACCCAGGATCCTCCGTAAGCTTGTTTCGAGACTGTTTTTACATAATCTGGCCATCTTGGAATTCATGATGTAGACCAGGCTAGCCTCTAACTCAGACCCATGTGGCTCTGAGTGCTGAGACTAAAGGCATGCACCCCCACACCCAGCCTCCCCACAAGTCTTCTTCCCAGTCTGGCACAAGTCTACTCTGTTGGTTGCTAGCCGTGCAATGGCTTATTTTACACACGTGTAATGCACATGGAGCACGTTCACTCCGTATCCCCTCAGCCCCTCCCACTCCTACTCTCATGCCTTTTTAAGATAGCACACTGAGTTTAATGGTCATGTCTTGTTCCTTATCTTTTTAGGAACCCACTGAGTTTCATACATACCTGTGGGTTTTGGGGTTGTTTATTAAATCATGAGCTGGAGAGATGGCTCAGTGGTTAAGAGCACTGACTGCTCTTCTAGAGGTCCTGAGTTCAATTCCCCGAACCACATGGTGGCTGACAACTATCTATAATGAGGATCAGATGCCCTTTTCTGGTGTGACTGAAGACAATGTACTCACATAAAATAAATAAATCTTAAAAAAGAAAAAAATAAATTTGACAGGCAGTGGTGGTGTACACCTTTAATCCCAGCACTTGGGAGGCAGAGGCAGGCAGATTTTTGAGTTCGAGGCCAAATTTCTGATTGTGTTTTTTCATTTCAGCCTCCAGAGATCCCTCAGGCAGGAGGCAAGGGCAGGTGGATCTCTGAGTTTTGGAACAACCAGGGCTACACAGAGGAACATTATCTTGAAAAAAAAATGTTTGCAAGGCAGTCAAACAGCAATGACTTGGCTACTTTGTTAATGAGGGGTGAATTCCTGCCTTTGCTATGGTATTTGAGATGGGGTTTTGCTTTGTCCTCTGAGACAAGCTCTCACGCTGCTCAGATGTGTTTACCATGGAGCCCAGGTTAAGAGTGAACTGACTGCAGGCATGTACTGCTTCACCTTGATCAAGCATAGGATTTTTTTCCTGTTGGTCTCATTTAGCGCAGGATTTAAGTTTGAGCTCTTGATCTCTTCTGGCATGCCTGACTTGTCCTGGACCTCACTTTATAGACCAAGTTTGTCTATCAAACACATATCCAAGTATGGATGTGGACCACTTGGGGAGTCCAGTAGCCCCAAATACACCTTATTAGAATTCTGTTAGGTTAGGAGTGGGCTAACAATGGAATTCTCTTAAAATTTTAATGTAACACAGGTGACTAATGACCACATCAGTGTTCTCCTTAGTCCACTGCAGTCCCTTACCTAACAACTTGTAGTTTAATTTATTTAAATGTGTCGAGTCATTAGTACTTAGAATTGTCAAAAACAAAACTTCACATGCATAAAAATGACTCATTCCAGGCATCATTAATGACACAGTGCTTAACAATTAGACATGGCCCGTATTTACTCAAATACAAACGAGGTCTGGTGGGATGGCTTAGCAGGTAAAGGTGCTTTCTGCCAAGCCTAGTGACCTGAGTTTTATCCCTGGAACTCACCTGCAGGAAGAGAGGTTTTCCTTTTTTTTTTTTTTTTTTTTTGACAAAGTTTCTTTTTTTTAACTCTGGCTATCCTGGAATGCAGAGATCTACCTGCCTCTGCCTCCCAAATGCTGGGATTAAAGGCGTGTCCCAACACACTGAGCCAAGAGGTTTTACTTGTATGCGTATCATGTATGTGCCTTTATATGTGAGTGTGAGCATATGTGAGGAGGTCAAAAAACAGTACTGCATGTTAGTCCTCGTCTTCCAGCTGTTCGAGACAGGGGCTAGTTTTGGTTATTTACCAGTGTATATGGCACTGGATAAGAGGTGCATTTATTATTGAGCCTGGCTTTACATGGATTGGAATTCAGTTTGTGTGGTAAATGCTTTATCCACTGAAGTACCTTCTCTAGTTCTGGTCTTCTCAATCTACCCATTCTGGTGTCCAGAAAGAAAGCTGTAAACTGACAGTTTGACATCCCTGTTATCGTTAGCAACATGATAAGCTCCATTGTCAAGACAAAATTCTAATAAGGTGATGAGAAGTTCTAGACTGGTCGCCACCTCCAAAGATCCAAATACTACAATGGCTGTATAAGCAAAACCAACGAGGTCCCTTGGTGAGTGACCATTTGTTAGGTATGGTAACTCATGTCTGTAAACCTTAGCACAGGATGAGGCAGGAGGATTACTGTAAGTAGGCAACACCCTGGGCTACATGGTGAATCCCAGCAGCCTGAGGTTTAGAACGCAGAGCAGTCAATTCTCTCAGCCTGCCGAGCGAGCTCCTTGTGGCAACCAACGGTCTGTTAACCATTGGCCTGTCCTGGGGGTCAGGGTAAGAAACGTGTAAAGTGGAGCAGAAGGGAGTTTGTTCTCACATGACTTTTCTTGTAGGATAATGAGATGTTGATGCCAGTGTCGAGTATGCCCGTGTCTTCTGGAAACAGCGGCTTTCATCAGCCAGCAGCCACGCAGTACTTAACAGACATGATGAGGCCCTACATGGCGTCAGCTGAGGAATTCAGATCCAGTGAGGGAGAGTGGGAGTCACAGTTCATTAGGTCGATTCCTGAGCATGGTGTGAGGTGCCCCTCCCAGCTGACACCTTCCCAAAGTTATTGTCAGAGATCGATTGGGAGGGGATCCCACGTGATGCCAGTCGGAAGTTCAGGTACTCTGGGAATGACTGTTGACTTCAGTGAGAATCTGATGTCTTATGGTGGCCTGCCAAGCCCAGCTTCCTGTGGAGTCTCAGTGATGGCCCACAACCATGCCCCAACAATGCCTTATTCTGTACCTGCCACTCCGGGCTCTTTAAAACATGGAATATTGTTGGTCCCAGGCATGCCTTCCTCTGGGACCCATGCTGTGACCCACTTTATAGATCAGATGGTACACTCTGCAAATCCCTGCAATCCTGAGGTGCTCCCAGCTACGTTCCAGCAATTGGTATCTTTAGATTCCCAAGATTCACTTGTGACCCAGTCAAATGTCCAGGAAGAACCTTTCATATGTGAGCAGCCTACACCTGCTCCACAGGAGACAGAGAGCCCCAGTACATCAAGAGGGGCAAGAAAGAGAGAGCCCCTAGTTTCAAGGCCTTATGTCTGCTCATATGACAACTGTGGAAAAGCTTACACCAAGCGCTCTCACCTCGTGAGTCACCAACGCAAACACACAGGTGAGTGGGGTGTCGTGTGGAGAAAGGGATATAGGGATCTCTTCTTCCTAAACTGCTCATAGAGTTATTTTATTATGTGAATGACTGTTTTGCTTTTATGATTGTCTCTGTACCTCGTGCATGCCAGGTGCCCAGAGACCAGAAGGCTTGGATCTCCTGCATGGAACTGGAATTACAGATGGCTATGAGCCACCATATGTAGGTGCTGGGAGTCAAACCTGCAAGAGCAACAAGTACTTTTAACTGTAGCAGTACCCAGTTAATGCTACTCAATTGACACTGTCAGTGTAGTGCCCCTATCTACCTCAATGTACTGGGTTCCCCAATGAAAGACACGCACACACATACAGCCTTTATATTTTTATATGCCTTAAACAACTCAATGGCTGGGCTACTTCTTCAACCTCCATCTGGCCAATCTACCTCCTTCTGATATTCCCAAGTTGTTACTTACTAGAACCTATATTCCATCTTGGCTGCCCTGGACCCAGATGTGCAGCCCTCTTGGGCTATGTTCCTCCAGCTCCTACACAGCAGCTATGCTCTCTGTCCTGCACCTCTCAGGCATGGTGTCTCCCCTTTTCCTTCTCCAGGCATGGCTGATCTCTCTTCCTTCTTTGGTCCCTTGACTGGGAATCCTAAAAGTCCCGCCTCTGTCTCTCTGCTCAACCATCATTGGCCAGCAACATTATTTACCAATCAAAACCAACTGGGGGTAGGGTTTCCTTGGTATCTTACTGCATAGTGTGAATTCTCCTGCAATTTTGGGGTCCTAGATTAACATAATACAAGCAGCATTAGACTGAACCCACAACACTTAACTCCTGAGCCAGTTGTCAAGCTCATCTTTTTGATTTATGCAGGACCACTGATTTTTTTTTTTCGAGACAGGGTTTCTCTGTATAGCCCTGGCTGTCCTGGAACTCACTCTGTAGACCAGGCTGGCCTCGAACTCACCTGCCTCTGCCTCCCAAGTGCTGGGATTAAAGGCGTGCGCCACCACTGCCCAGCTGGGACCCCTGATTTGTAATTGTTTAGGACTACCCTTTCTCTTCTAAGCTTGGAGCCTAGCACTCCTGTCCCACTAGCCTGCAGTCTCATCTAGTGGCCTTTGCCTCCCACTGGTTTTCCTTTCCCACCTTGTGTTTTTTTCTGCCTAATTTAACTCTTCCCCACTCTCTCCCTAGGTGAGAAGCCCTACGCATGTGACTGGAAAGGCTGTACGTGGAGGTTCTTCCGCTCTGATGAGCTTGGACGACATAAACGGATCCATACCAGATATCGACCACATAAGTGTGACGAGTGTGACCGAGAGTTCATGAGATCTGACCATCTCAAGCAGCACAAAAGAACTCATCTGCCCAAGTAAGACTTCCTGCAACCTCAAGCTTACGGTGGACAGACAGACGACAGACGGATGGGATAGACAGTCCTCTGGCTCCTGGTCAGGGACTTTAGCTCTCTTTCCTGTAGTCTCTAACCCAAGATTCTGTTGCCCGGGACCAGATCATCTCTGGGGTAGATGAAGGTTCAGATGGAAACAAGATTAGGAAGTGGTGGAGAAAGAAGCCCACATGAAGCTCTGGACATCATAATAGATTCCTCAAAATCTGGTACCCTCCCCTCCGAGATTACTGACTTCTGCCAGATGAGAAGGCAGAGCCAGAGATAGAATTTTACTAGAAAGCTCTTATCTCCTGTCAACCCGAAGCATGAAACTCTCTCATGCCTGTTCAACGAAAGCCCACATTCTCTCCCTGGGTCTTCCACAGTTTCCAGGGCCAGACCACGGGAAAGGTCTTTGAACACTATGCTTTTTACATCTTAGTGCTGGGACATACTGGACATATGAGTGTGCTGTATCTCTATGACAGCACAACCTATGGGGAGACCTGCAAACAGCCAGTGGACATGCCTGCATCTTCAAGGTTGACCATCTTGGGACTGTTGCCTTGGGCCATTTCCCATTCTTTCCCTTCCACTTGATGTTCTCCTTCCTATACTTTGGCTTTGAATGTCCCAATAAAAGCGTGTAGGCTGTTTCGATGGCCTGGGGAGTAGGAGGGCTGAGGACAAACCCCACCGTAACTCCAGGTGGCCGATTGTCATTATGTGTACATGTGCGGAGGTCATCGACAACTTTTGAGAGTCTCTGATCTAGTGTGTAGGTCCCTGAGATTGAACTCAGTCTGTCAGTCTTGGCAGCACCTTCCCCTCATGAACCACCTTGTTGGCCTTTGTTTGGCTTTTGAGACGGGTTATACTATGTAGCCTAGGCTGACTAGCAGCCTTCTCGTATTTGCCTGGGAAGTTCTGGAGGTACAGGTAAAACCCACCCAGCGGGCTTCAGGTTGCCTCTCCTGCTTGGCTTTCTGGTTTTGAGGGACAGTAACTATCCTGGCAACTCATCCTGGTCATTTAATACAGAACTTCTGTATTAAATCAGCCATTTTACTAAGCATTAAGCTAATATAACAGAACTCAGCCTTAATTCAGATTATAGGGGCTCAAAGATTAAATTTAAAAGTAGGGAGCAAAAAAAAAAAAAAACAAAGAAAAAAAGAAAAGAAAGAAAAAAGGAAGTAGAAGAGCTTGGTGATGCCAGTGAATAGTCAGATCCCAGGTGTCACGTCTGCCCTGCAAAGTGGGTTTCTTAAGAGCTGACACTTTCTATAGATATTCTATAGTCTTAGTCTTGTGCCAAGTATTGACTATAGAAAAGTGATGCCATCTTAGGCTTAAGGGACCATGTTTGGCCTAACTAGGTGCAGTGCCCCCTGGCAAGTTCTCAAGAGTCAGTCCACAAGCCTCCACAACACAGGACTTGAGGGGCTCAGGGACAGCAAAAGGGTGTACCAGGAACAAAAGACCTCAACGATGTTGCCATAGTCAGACCTAAAGGACTTAGCCATGCTTTATTCTTTGGACATCTCCTTGTGTTCTTGGTTGAGCCCTGCAGTGGGCACTGAGAGTTTTGAGAGGCAAAGTCATCATGACTGATAAGGAGAAGAAAAGACCATGGGCAAAACTTTGTGATCAGTGCAGTCAGGCTCCAGATGCTCTGTGTAAGCCCAGACTTATCCTGAGGTTCTAGGAAAGCCCAATAGCCTTGGCTGTGCTGGCTCTGTTCTGCATGGTCATTGGCTGGGCCACTAGACAAAGCAAGTGTGGGCAGCCATTCTGACATTATGTTAAACATTAAGAAGGGCTCCCCTGGGGCTGGAGAGATGGCTCAGTGGTTAAGAGCACTGACTGCTCTTCCAGAGGTCCTGAGTTCAAATCCCAGCAACCACATGGTGGCTCACAACCATCCATAATGAGATTGGATGCCCTATTCTGGTGTGTCCGAAGACAGTGACAGTGTACACTGTACTCATAAATAAAATAAATAAATAAATCTTTAAAAAAAATAAAACCAATATTTTTTTAAAAAAAGAAGGGCTCCCCTGTGTTGAGCTCCAGTCAACTGAGGTTAGGGATACCAGAAGTCTCTTGTTCCTAGGTCTTGTTCCAGTCTGTTCTATGGGGCAAGCCATCTGGGAAACAGTAGGCCAGAACTGGGCTCCATCTTCCCTATGACCATGTGTGAGACCAACAGACAGGTTTGTTAGGATGCAAGATGAACGCTCTCTCAGATAGCAATACTTGCCAAGGGTGAACTGGAGAGCAATGGTGACCAGAACTGACCCCTGCCTATAGATGTCAGAGCTACTGAAAGCCATGAGAAAATACTGTGAACTAGCTTGGTGTGGTCAGTCGTACATATGATACAATATATTTGCCCCTTTTTAAGTCATTTGAGTCTCTCAACCTCCAGAGATGGAACCGCTCTTGGATTTTGGTAACTGGTACTGTCTTCATGTCATGTGTGAACCCATCCCTAAAGAATGCAGTGGTCAGTTTTGTATGACTTTACTGCTTTTACTGTCTGAGCTCCAATAAATTTTAGTACAAACATTTTGTCTCAAAGTTTGGAATGTTTTTGGTCGTGTTTTGTCAGTTTCTTCCTGTGGTGGTCTGAATGAGAGTGGTGCCCACAGGCTTGAAGGTTTGATCCCCAGTTGGCAGAACTGTTTGGGAATGATTGAGTGGTGTAACTTGTAAGGAACCTGAGTTTGCTCAAGATACCCCAAGACCAAATTCTCAGCACAAAGATTTATTTGCCCCAGAAGTCAGAGATAAAGCACAAAGACAAGAAGTAGATGAAGAGGGGGAAGGGAGAAAAGAGGCAAGGGCCAGGGAAGGGGGTGTTTGTGGAGAGGACAGGGAGGATGAGACAAAGGACTGCCTCTGGATAAAGAGAAGACAGATGAATGAGTTTATAAAGGTAAAAGGGGGAACTCCGTTAAGACGAAGTATTTAATTCTGATTGGGCATGTTAAGTGGGTGAGCCAAAGGGGACTTTGGGTTGCTGGAATTCAATGCTTTGATACCTGGATCTTGGTAGTCACCCTCAGGAGGAAGTGGCCAAATAAGGGAATAGACCTTGGTGTCTAACATTAGGGATTCCACCTGTCTTTCTAGGAGGCTGATGATCTAACTATGTAGTTCAGCCTGGTCTAGAACTTGATATGTTGGCTTTGAACTTGAGGTAATACTCCTGCTTCCACCTCTTGAGTGCTGAGATTACAGGCATGCACCACCACACCTGGCTGGCGTAGAATTTACTTTATTGAACTTTGAGGTGTGCTGAGATTTTTTTGTTTGTTTATTTCCATACTGGTAGCTTTTTACTTTTTAAATTAAATGAAACAGGGGCTCCTTAAGTTGCCCAGGCTAGCCACCCAGGCAATGAATTGCCTCGATGCCTTGCACTTTTTTTAAAAAAAGATTTATTTATTTTATGTATGAGTACACTGTAGCTGTCTTCAGACAAACCAGAAGAGGGCATCGGATCCCATTACAGATGGTTGTGAGCCACCATGTGGTTGTGGGAATTGAACTCAGGACCTTTGGAAGAGCATACAGTGCTCTTAACCACTGAGCCATCTCTCCAACCCTGCTTTGCACTTTTTAATTGTAATCCTGCCTCAATCTTCCAAAGATGAGGTCTGCGCCACCAGGTCCAGCTTCCTTTAACCCTCTTTTGTTTTGGTTTGTTTGTTATCAGAAAATCGGTATGTAGTACTGGGTGGTACTCACCATGTAGCCCTGGCTGGCTGCCGACTCTCAGAGGTCTCTCTGCCTCAGCCTCCAGAGAGCCGAGATTAAAGGCATGTGTGCACCACCACACCTGGCTTTAATTTTAAGGATAAACCCAGAGTGACCTTTCTGTACATTTTTTTTTTTACAGTTTTCTCATGCTAAGGCATTATCCTCAGCACACTGCCTGCTGCTTTCTATATTATATGTTTGTCTTCTGGCAAAGGGAAACAAAACTATTCCCAGCCCTGTATGAGTAGGAATTATTCACCTACTTAAAAAATGTTTTGACACAAAGTCTCATGTAGCCCAGGGTGACCTTTTAACTTACTATGTAATAAAGGATGGCCTTGAACTTCTGCTCCTCCTGCCTCTAACACTTAGCTACTAGGACTGTGAACATGTATCTATTGTGCAAATTGGTTCAGTGCTGGGGATCTGTGTGTGCCAAGTACTCTGCTAACTGAGATACATCCCCAGCTCCCAATGTTATATTATTTTTTTGAGACAAGGTTTCACTATGTAACCTAGGCTAGCCTCAAATTCACAGTCCTCCTGCCTCAGCATCTTGAGTACTGGGGATACAGGCATGCACTACCAAGTCCAGTAGGTCAATTCTAATAGGTCACATACAGTTGTTTTCCTCTTAAGAACTGAGCTATGGGGAATGCTGAATATCTTTACCTCAACCTCCAACTGCATGCATGTTAAGTCTCCATGAGCCAGTTTTCAGAAGTGGCTACTTGTTTTGTTAATAGGTTGTGAGTTGGTGCTGAACATAGAAGGCTTGGCAAAGCTGAGTTTGGTGGGTTTATAGGGCTGGTCTACGCTGTAGCCTGTTTCCCTGTAATATCAGTCACTTGGTGGGTATGGAGAAGGCAGCTGGCCAGAGTTAGCTCCGATGGAGTTTGCCAGGTAAATTGTGAGCAGAAACAAGAGACAAGGCATCTTTGGGTGGGCAGGAGAAACTGTTGACTAGGGAATCTAGAGGAGTCCCTGTGTGAAGTCTAGAGGGGCTGAAGGACAGGAGAGCTACCAATGGGTTGATGTTAGCAGTTGGCTAGTGGTCAACTCTGGGATCTACCTACCTCAGCTTCCAGAGTGATGAGATGAAAGGTGTGGGTACTCCACCATACCCAGTTTAATCTGGGTATAGCAGGGGATGAAGATGATGTTGAGGTAGGACTTCAAGGTCATTAAAAAGTTCCTTAAAAAGTTCAAGGTTAG